GGTGCTAACAAGCTTGTCATTTTCTCAACAAAGTCTTGGCTTTTAAATCCAACGGCTTGGACTTTTTTATAAAAAAATTTTAATTTAAATATATAAAATATATATAAAATAAAAATAATAATTGTGTGATTTTTCAAAAAAGTGTTGTTTGAAAATATATATTACAAGGGATGTGTTTTGTTCAGCGAATCAGCGGTGGAATCAAAAAGGCCCAAGGTTAGGCACTGGCCCTACCTCGGGTCTTTAAAAAAAAAAAAACAAAAAAGTAAAGTAAAAGAAAAGGCCTAGTTAAAATAGGCCTACCTTGGACTCTAGCATTTGCACGTCTTTTTAGATCTTTGACTTTTTAAAATAGTAGTGCAATGTAAGGATTTTCGTACTCGATTTAATTTGATTGATTCGATATAAATTGATTTAATTAAATTAAAAATTGATCTAAATCGATAAAAAATTAGATTTATTTAAATTTTAAAATTTTAAAATTGATATAATTAGTTTAATTTGTGATTTTATCTTCAAGCCGTCAGAATTACCCATTTACAAAATAAAATTTAATTAAAAGATAATTTAATAAATAATATAACATATTTTTTATAATATTAAAATTTTTTTTTCTTATTTTATAAGATTATAACTCTTAAAAGATAATTTAATAAATAATATAACATATTTTTTATAATATTAAAATTTTTTTTTCTTATTTTATAAGATTATAACTCTATTAACTTAATTAAAAAAATAAAAATAGAATATCTTCATATTCTCTAAGTTATTTTTCCATTTTAATCATGCACTCTAACGTTAATTTTAAATTTTTAATTCACCTGCAACTCTATTATCTCAGAATTGTTTTGCGCCTTTACTCTTAGAATCTTAAATTTTTAATTTATTCTTAAAATAATCTTATGATTTTCCTAATTAAGTTTTAAATACGTATAATTCTAAAAGCTTTAAAATTATATAATAAAATTAGTCTTAATATTCAACTATTCTTAGATATTTGGTTTAAAAGTTTTAAATTTTGATTTTGAATACTTCTAATAAATTTTAGTAATATCCATGTTAAATGTTATTCACTTTTAATAAGATTTAGAAAATGGAATTAAATTATTAGTGTATTAAGAAAAAAAGATTAATTTTAACCTTTAAGAATTATTTACGTTGCGTTAGAAATTTGAAATTATTTTTTATTGTTTTTTGTGCCTCTAGTGACGTAACCAAGAAAAATTTTTAGAGTTTTTCAATTTTTACAAATGTAAAGAAGTAGAAGAATTTGTTTATAATTTTTACATTTTATTATGTTTTTATTGATTTGGATGTTAATGTATTTTATAGTTATTATTTTTATTTGAT